TACATGTTGTCTAACAAGCTACTGTGATGATACGTGAGTTTAATCAATAAAGCCGAAAACAGTATCAGCGTGATGGTTTGGCTTTGTTTATCAATCACCGTGATAATCGTTATTAGGTAAATCTCAACTGGGCATAAATTCAGAAGGCAGCAAAAAGAGTTAACTAAAGTTTATTATCGTATAGCACATATAACAAAGTTACAAGCACATCAAGCGAATTTGAAGCAGAGAGGCTAATGCGTGTGAGAGAGCGAATAAAAAGGTGGATTTATAGTCGAATCGAAGCAAAGCGAAGGCAGTAGATAAGATTCATGTATACAAGTTTATACAGACATGATAGTGATCATAATAATACAAAGAAATAATTTCAGTAGTTGATATTATGAATCAGTTGAAGCTAGACCACCAAAAAAAAACGTGGAACTACTGGATGGCCATTTCATCCTTTTTGTGGGACTCCGCAGCAGTGCGCATCCATGATTCCGCCTCGCGAGCGCTTAACCAATAGACCAACAGTGTTAATGTCCAACTTCAACTAATCCACGAAATTGAGCGACGCATCCATCATTGTCATCAATGAGTTGTTATCTCACAACAAACCCGGTTGAATTCCACTGGTCACTACTTCTCTCTTGAAGTCAGTCACTAGTGAGCATATGTTAATTAGTATCAGAAGGGGTTTTATGGAGATCGTAGTGATTTCAATAGAAACAAGTTGTTAATGTTGGAATAAAACTGTCGGCTAAATAAGTTAACTGAAAAGCATGACTAGAATTAACCGTAAGTAAAATTAATTGTAGGAGAGTTTCTATGTCACTACAAAAATTATCAATATAACACTTCAGTATATTCTTGTATTCCATTTTAAAATTAAAAGCTGGAAACTTATTTATTTGAAAACAAAATCTTAACGTTTTAATTTTATTAACCATCATATAGGAAATACGGAGCTGAAACGTAGAGAACTATTATGACCATCATCAAAAAGGTACAAGTATTCATAAGTAGTCGTCTATGCAAGATACTCAATATCCGTTGACCGGATACCACCAGCAACAGCCTGTGGTGGGAGAGGACAAACCAGCTACCAGCTGAAGAGGAAATTAGAGAAAGACGTTGGAGGTGAATAGGACACACACTTCAGAAATCACCAAACTGAATCATGAGGCAATCCCTAACATGGAATCCTGAACGGAAGAGGAAAAGAGGAAGACGAAAGAATACACTACGTCGAGAATTGGAAGCAGACATGAAAAGGATGAATAATAACTGGAAAGGATTGTCCAGTACAGAGTTGGGTGGAGAGTGCTGGTGATCAGCTTGTGCTCCTCCACGAACTGTAATAAGCGTACATAAAAATAAGTATTATATAGAACCCAAAAATTAAAATTTCCTCTATTTTCATTCGAAAACAAAATATTGTCAAATCTATTTTGTTTGTATTCCATGGTTAATTGACTCAGACGGAAGGGTCAGAATTCAATTCTGATTTGAAAAACAATAATAATAGTAATTAAATGCTTGATTGATTTGTTTACAAACGATTAAGTAAGTGGTTCAAGTCATTGAAAATTAAACTTGATATTTTAAGTATAAGGAAAGATATTTCTTCTTAACCGACTTCATAAAAATAATGTTAATTATGCTTCTGAATTGTCATAATTCGTTTTTATAATTGAAATGTTCTTATTATGATTAGATGCTTCAATGAGAATCTTTGACTATTCTATGAAGTGCATCGTCAAGATTAAAAAAAACACAAAAACAATCAATATGTGATGGAAGATTTGTAAATATTGTACAATTTAAAGAAAGTTTGCATTGCATAGTAACTTTAGCCTGTTTTTCATTAGCTTGTATCTAGGGTTAAACCCTACATACTTTAGAAGATTTGGCAGGTATATTAGCATTGTATAACTGAGTTGGCACTAAACGAGTTCACTAACAAGTCCTATACTTTAAAAATGATCTGTCCCGTGCTCCCAATTCCCAATTATTATTGAATCAAAGTCAGTCATTGATATAGGCCGTCTAGAAATTCATTTATCGGAATTCATAACCGGTAGATGTTTATAGATTTTTCCGATTTAAACTCCATACAAGGACTGGATAGCATATCAATGAAATGTTACAAATTAGGTAGAACAGAACAAAATATATTTACCTTTCAATCAGTAATATGAAAGATATTTTCAAATGGTTTTTATATGTTCGTTTGTATCTTTTCACTATGAGTAATGGTTATACTCACTAAATAATTCAGATCATGAACCAATCAAAATCAGACCATCATTGAAACCTGGAAATACTGAACGGCCTCTTCGTCTTATTGTGTAGCCCGTCAAAAGTGCGTATCGACGGTCCTGCACGCAAGATTCGAATCCAGGAGCTTCGGTCTCACGCGGGATCGCTTAAACTCTTGGCCATTGAGCCGGGATTTAGCGGTGTTCATGTCTAACTTTAAGAAATCCACGATATGGCGCAACCATTAAGAGCTTTCTAGTGACCAACTTCGAGGGGAAATTCTCGGAGTTATAGTAGAAAGCCGTTACTCGTAGAGTTCAACAGTGTTGGATATGAGGCAGTTACCCATCGAAGAAAACGAAAGATGTTAGAGCAATTTCGTGGATTGGTTAAAGTTAAATATTCAAAAACCGCTGGATCCTACAGGCTAGTTTTTCGCATGAGACGGAATATCCTTGGTTCGAGTTCTGGGTGCAGGATCGCGGCTATACACTAATCAGAAATCCCATACTATGACGAAATGGCTGTTCAGTGCTCCGAAGTTTTCAATGGTGGTCTGACATTGGTCGATTCATGATCTCAAAAAAATTCAACAATTTAAACAACCCTATACTAATATCTAGTCATTCATCATTAACCATTATTAAATTTACAGATGATTTGACTTTTAAGAAGAAATCAGTATTATTTAATCTCTGATATATATACGTTTTAGTAAATACATTATGGCTCGAACTCAGTCATTTTCCCTGAGAACGTTCTATATATTAAACACTAATCTACTGAGTCTAGACACCAGCTAACTTATTTAATGAATATGAATTTTATTTATATCAAGATGTATATATGCAAACAAACATTAATCGAAATCCAGTCATACGAATCAACCAAGAGATAATTCAAATTCTTACTAATATTGATATGAGTAGCATATTGCTTTATACCTTTATTGAAGTTGGAAATTATCAATAAAACTGTAACTGATACAATGTATTTTTGGAACAAACAAACTCTTGCAAAAATAACTGACAATGTTTAATATCAGAAGGGGTTTTTGTGGATATTATAGCAATTTTATTAATTGAGATCATGAGACATTTGAAGCTAGACCACCACAGAAAACCTGGAACCACTGGATGGCGATTTCGTCCTAGAATCAAACCCCTCATCAGGACTCATCCACGATCCCACCTCGCGAGATTCAAACCCAGGATCTATCAGTCTGGCGCGCGAGCGTTTAATCACTAGACCACTGAGGTGGCCGGCATCCAACAGTGTTAATGTGTAACATCAACTAATCCACGAAATTGGGCGACACATCCACCATTGTCATCAGTGATTTGCTATCTCACAACAGACCTGGTTGAACTTCACTGATCACTGCTTCTCACTAGAACTCCAGGACATGCCTCTTGAAGTCAGTCACTAGTGAGCATATTTTGATTATTATCAGAAGGGGTTTTTTGTGGATATTATAGTAATTTCACTATTTAAGTTGAAAGTTTTCTAAATAGTTTACGTAATAAAGCACTGTCCAGGTAGTTAACATTGTAAACAGTAAAATATTTACAAGGAACAACATTTTTAATAACGCAACTCTACCATTGGCAATACTAATGACTTTTTTCTTTCTCTCATTTTCTCTCTCTCTCTCTCCTTTTACACACAAACACACTTTATCCCACCATTTTAAACGATTATGAAAATCTCAACATTTGAGATCGTGAGTCAATTGAAGCTAGACCACCATGGAAAACCTGGAAGCACTGGACGGCCGTTTCGTCCTATTGTGGGGCTCCTCAGCGGTGCGCATCCATGACCCCGCCTTGCGGGACGAAATGGCCATCCAGTGCTTCCAGGTTTTCCATGGTGGTCTAGCTTCAATTGACTCACAATCTCAACTGTTGAAATTACTATAATCTCCACAAAACCTATTCTGATACTGATTATAAAAATCATTTAAAATGTGTATACATTTGCGTCTAATCCAAAATTAATTTGTATTTTGAGATGGTGGAGATTTATAGCTCAGTTGGATGATTTTGGTGAAGTTTTGCTCTCTGAGCCATCTAACTTAGAGTATTTTGTGTGTATTAGAACGATATGCAGAATAATGTGAGTGGACAAAGAGAGAGAGAGAGAGTTGAGAAAGAGAAGAAAAAAAGTAACAATAGGGTCAACAATCTAGCAAGCGCACAAAATGTACTTATATATATATATATCTATTTTTTTAGGGAAAGCAACCGATTACAGTCAGAAATAACACACAAGACTCAGATTATGATAATTTGAAAAACGAAACTAGAATCAGATAACATGAAGTTTTATAATCCACTCTATCATAAAGTGTTTAAACACTTTTCTGTTTTGATTAAAATAAATTCATCAAAATGAAGGAAACAACGACAGGAGGAAATACACCTACGCTTATGATAAGTGGTAGAATGAGAATTGAATATGTTAGTTGTTGTTGTTGTGGTTATTATTGATATTATTTCTTATTTCATATAAAATAATCATTTATTAGTGGATACATTGAAATACAGTCTTTTTATTTCCCTGTTTATTCCATTCATTTGTCAATTGTTGTTCGCTTGTGTTGTTCTCAGTGATGATGATGGTGGTGGTGGTGGTAGTGGTAAAGTGATGGTCATGTTTCTTGTTCGTAGATCAAATATTTATGTCTTTACTCCCACCCCTGTAAACACAAATAAAAACTAGATATATAAGTACATCAATCTATCTCTCTCTTTATATATATATACCTATTACTTTAAAATCTTTTACAAAATTGCCCCTTTTTTGCCATTGTGAACAAATAGTCTTAAGAAAGATTGTCAATATAGTTTATGTAAGTTATTTGTACTAAATATTAATTATGTTTTGTTTTCCTTTGTTGTGTAACATTAAAGTTTTATAATGACTGACTTCAAGAAATATCTAATTGTAATAGATAGTAGTAATGATAATAATAAATGAAAGTATTCTTATCTGATTTTAATAATAGAGTTAAATAATTACAAGGATTATGAAAAGATTAATCACTGAAAAAATATATCAGAAGGGGTTTTATGAAAATTTTAGTAATTTCACTAGATGAAATAATGAGTCAATTGAAGCTAACTCCACAAAACCCCTTCTAATAATAATCATCTGCTCACTAGTGACTGGCTTCAAGAGGTATATCCTAGAGTTCTAGTGAGAAGCAGTGATCAGTGAAGTTCAACCAGGTCTGTTGTGAGTTATCAGTCCACTGAAGACAATGGTGTACGGTGGTGCAATTTCGTGGATTAGTTGATGTTGCACATTAACACTGTTGGATGCCGGCCACCTCAGTGGTCTAGTGGTTAAGCGCTTGCGCGCCAGACTGATAGATTCTGGGTTTGAATCTCGAGAGGTGGGATTATGGATGCTCACTGCTGAGGAGTCACACAAAAGGGACGAAGTAGCCATCCAGTGCTTTCAGGTTTTCTATTGTGGTCTATCATCAATTGACTCAAGATTTCAACTATTGAAAAAATATATATTTGTCATTGACATTTCAACTTAATGAAAATCCGCCAGCAGGATCTTGGATGCGTACTGCTGCGGAGTTTCATACTAGGACTAAACAGTCATCCAATACTTTAATGTTTTTCGTAGTGGTCTAGCTTTAATTGACTCATGAATCCAACTATTAAGACAGAAACCATTAGATTGTTTTTCATGTATTATCATAAATGAGGTGCTGTTGAAAGTTTTATCGACTAATATTACATAACATTCAGTGATTCATTAGATAATCTTAATCTGTGTTTTAAATATAGTCTAACACTTGATTGTCTTTTTTTTCAAAATAATAAACAGAAACATATGATGATGTATTTATCTGAACTAAAACAATAATACAAATAGTTGAGTTCATGAGTCGATAAAAGGTAGACCACCATGGAAAACTTGGAAGCACCGAATGGTCGTTTCGTTCTAGTATACGACTTCTAAGTAGTGCGCATCCAAGATCACGCAATGAAGATACTTGAACCAAGGACCTTTGGTTTCGCGCATGAACACTTAACCTCTAGACCACTGAGATGACTGGCATCCACTGGTCGTTTAGGACTAGTTTAAACTCTGAATTTTCTCCCCCACCCAAAATTTGATATCGGTTCTTTATAAACATTATTTTAATTTATATCATATTACTTATTTTAAAAAACGTCACTCCTACCTGAATTTTGTGCTGATGATGTCGTACAGAAGGTCAATGAAAGCTCCACGACCAAACTATCCAGGTCAGAGAACAAAACTCCATTAAAAGTAAAAAATGAACATCTTAGTTTTATTAAGATATTTCAATGTGATTATTCAAAATTTAATGAAAGCAATACATAACTTGTAAATTTATATTTACCAGGTGAAAAATCCAGTCTACATAGATACGGAAAATATCGAAAAATTATAATATAAATGCTTTTTGTGTCAACATTTATGATGATTTGAATTAACAATTGTACAAAAAGCGCTAAGTACACAGGTTATACCTGTCACCCCTCATACAAGAGCATAAGCCACCCAAAAAGCATTCTTCATTCAATTCTGTCCTAGGCAATCTTTTCAAGTTGTTTCCAGTTGCTATTTTTATCCTATTCATGTCTGCTTCCGATTCTTGTCACAGTATGTTCTGTAATCTCCCTCTTTTTCGTTTCCCTTTAGAATTCCAAATATTAAATGTATAAATTATATTTAAAATGATCTTAATGAGTAAAATCTAACTCATCTTAACATTAAACCGCCCCATCTCCCCGCAAATTGTTGTATGATTCTTTAGGAATTCTCATTAGTAACTAGTTTGTACAGAGAAATGTCGGAATAATTTTTTTAAAAAAAACTTTTCTCATGGAAACTATATTTATACATTTAAATAGCTTCAAACTACAGATGAAATTAAATTCACTTGATATTATTTCATAGTATCTTTCCATTATTGGACGAAACACACGTCCTTGATTTCACTGCTAGCCATTATTCATCTTTACAGATTAGATGGTATAGATTTGTTTGGCGGGATTATTCATTATTCCAGTTCATTAAAACGATTGTTTTTTAAAAACTATAAAGAACTTATTTTAAGTATGGGATTATTAAGATTATTGAATATTTGATTAAGATCATGAATGGATCAATGTTAGAAACCCATTGAAAAACTGAAAGCATTAGGTGACCGTTTTGTGCTTATTTTAAGAGAATATTATCATACAATCTTGTATTTTAAATAGCTTTTTTTTTAGAAAATAAGGTGTTTAAGCTCAGTGGGTTGTTTAAAATTTAGTTTCCATACAGGTTAAAAATGAAGTTAGTAACTAGGGGGATAAATTTTTATGTTATTTCGTAACTAACTTGAAACAATAAAAAGATAAAATCATTCATACTTTCTTCAAATCTGTATCGCTAATACACTACAAACTTTTATTTTATTCAATACAGATAGTTATTATGACAGAATATAGAGTATATTGTCTGAATTAAGTGATAATGTGTTTCTTTGGTCAAACAATAAAACTTTGTACTATGATTTATACTGTTATTATTATTTGGACACATAAGTATTAGTACAAGGGGACACCGAATACATATGCGCCACACAAGTCACTCGATTTGTGTGTGGGTTCTGATAGTGCCCAGGTGCTAAAACTGGAGCAGTTGGTTTACTTGGACGGCCACACTCCGAGCCTTCGACCTAAAGGTCTAATCCACAAAGCAGTGGAGCGACGTCAGGAGACCCAGTTCCATGGTAGTCGGTGACCATAATAGGTTGATACGAAATTTCTCTCCTTAGGATCGTGTAGCCCATTTACACCATTAGTTTGGAATGAGTACTTTCCAACTCCCCTAGGTGGCTCTTCTATATCCACCAATCTGGCTGAAGCGCCGGACATTCGCTTTCCGTTCTGTCAATTTCGTAAACAACAGTAATACCGCGCGAATGTAGTGAGTAAGACTTCACTGGCAATGGTTGCAAGCACATAGCCGTGTTAGAGCATTTGAAGAGGGAGAGTTAACCCTCCCCACCCTCGACTGTACCATGGAATTTGGGGGCTGATTTATATTTGACACGGAAAAAAGATATCAGTCATTAATTTATTACTTGAAACAAGAATTATTTGTGCCGATATGAAGATCAAAATAATGATTATAATGATTGTCACAAGAAAAAGAGCTTTAAAATACTGTTTCCTTTCAATAACCACAAAAAGGTTTTATTTCTTATGATTGTTGTTGAAGATGATCTAGTTGTTAAACTGTCAGGAACATTATTTACAATATATAATTGTTAAGCAGTATTATTTACTTCAATACTACATGTAGTTTATACCAACTAAAGTATGCTGACAATGCAGATAGTCAAACCATAGACTGTTGACTTTCATCTGTATTTATTAGATTCAACTACCACTGCGGAAACAGCTATATAACATTATCCGCTTGGGTTATATAAAACAAAATTTCAATCTATTGACAATTAAGTATTATCTCATTTATTGAATAGTAAACAAAAAAAACAACATAAAGCCAATCAAAGATCACAGTCATATGTAGAGTACAAGTAAACGATGAAAGATTTCTATTGTTTTGTTCACTTAAAAATATCAATGACAATAACTACCAAAGTCTTTTCATTAAACTAATTTATACTATAAAACTAGTTCTAGTTAGAAGCCATAACCAGTGGAGCTAATCCATGTCGGGTAGAGACAGGTATCTACCTCAGTACAATGGAAGACGGTCGCGCAATTTCGTCGATTGGTTGATGTTAGACACTATCACCATCGGATGCCGACTCAGTGGTCCGGTTGGTTAGGCCTTCGCGCGCGAGACTGAAGACCCTGAGTTCAAATCCCGCGAGTGGGATCGTGGATGCGCACTACTGAGGAATCCTACAATAGGACGAAACGGCTGTCCAGTGCTTCCAGGTTTCCAAAGGTGGTCTAACATCAATCGGTTCATGATCTCAATCAAAAACTTAATAATCTCCACAACCCCTATACTAGTATAAAATTATTATTGTTTAATTCATTTTTCCTTTATAATTACCTCTTAACAGCCACTCTATCATAACAGTAATCGTATTAATAATAGTGATGATGATGATAATGATAGTAATCATTTTGTCTACTGGGTCACGTCAGATGAACGTAACTATAATCTTCATGTGTACTCTTATTATTTTATGTTATTATTATTACCGATTTGACTAGTAGTAATGGTTTTGCATTATAGACGTTTACATTAATCACTTAGTTTTTTCATTCAGTCAGTCAGTCATATGCAACGTAGAATCTGGAATGCTTGTGGTGATGTAAGTTACTATATTCTGCATGAACACAGCGATACAAGATTGTTTTAAGACAAGCTCGTAGTAGTAGTAGTAGTAGTAGTAGTAGTAGTAGTAGTAGTAGTAGTAGTAGTAGTAGTAGTAGTAGTAGTAGTAGTAGTAGTAGTAGTAGTAGTAGTAGTAGTAGTAGTAGTAGTAGTAGTAGTAGTAGTAGTAGTAGTAGTAGTAGTAGTAGTACTAGTTATAGTAGAAAGGATGAGTTATAGAAGGAAAATGAAAATATATAAGGGGATTTCAAATCTCATGTTCTGAAAGAAGATCAGTAATGAATTGATCAGTGCTATTATGAATGATTCTGGCCCAGTCATCCAAAGTCTCTAACCATTGGTCATGATAATCATATGGATCACAATTAATTAATCCACAATGATTAACATGACTCGGCACAATTTCCAATAACTATATAGATTGATGTTACGTCTTGGTTTGACCACTCCTAGCTTTATTTAGACATACTCTTACACTAAACAACACAGCTG